TGTTGCACTTCTCACTTCCCTCGAAGAGTAACATCCATTGGGGTAAATTGTTGTATGCAATTTTTGACATAGTTCCATTGCCCATCTAAATAAGGGGAGAACCGACGACAGCTTAGTCCTGCAGGTAATCTAGATCCCCGTGAACTAATGTTGTGCCAAAAAATAATGCCTTGGGCCACGTGACCTGGGTGTGGTGCCATCACACCAAAGGACTCTTTAACTGTAGCCCTATGCTAGTGGCCGCCAAACTGTACCAGGCCATCTCCATTGCACTCAGAATGTCGAAAAACTCCTGAGGACCAAATTTGGGCTCAATCGGACCTCCCCGAAGGGGTCTATGCCCATGCAGCCTCGCAACTGGCGGGTTTCACACTAGCGCGATGCGGCTTCACCAAACCAGTCCCTGGAAATGGGGACTGTGACAACGCCTTCTGGCAGCAGCTTCCCCAGCCCACAACACCTTCCTCTCAAACCGGAGAAAGCACAAAATTTGATATGTTATAGATCACGCCAGCCCCATCATTTTGACCTGCGGCACACATTGTGGCTTGACCCAGAACCACAGAGCTCTGACGACGAAGGTTCCCACAAAACTAGAGGGAGAACTAGGGTGCAAGGAGAAGAAGCCTTAGAAAACGTGAAGCCTAGCTCGACATCCAAACCTTGGATCACCGCGAGGACGAGTTCATTGCAACCACCGCCCAAAGAGCTACACACCGGTACTGCTCTTGCATTCAATCCAAGGGCCGATGAATGCAATCCCCTATGTCACCAAAGAAGTGAATCCTGTCGATTGCCGAAATCCCTTTTTTCGGTAACCTCCCAAATTAGGCAAATGCAAGAACCAAAACCAAATCAGCCCAAACTTGGTGCAAAATGACTGCGGTAGCCTCCTCTCTGATTTGCATGTAGAGCCAGAAACCAGAACAACACAGTTCAAACAAGCATTGGCAAACGAAGTTCACAAATCTGGTCAGACTTTCACCTCAGGGAAAAAGGCCAACACAATACAATTAAAGGGCATGAAAATGCTCACAATCGAGAGAACATTGAAGATATGTTGTTGAAACAATTGAACCATTGCCACAAGTTGCAGAACAAGCTTCCAAGGTCTTGCCATGGCAGAGCAACCGACATGCAGGGATGGTTTCATCATTCGTGCAAAAGATCTCAAAGAAATTTAGGTCATTTGTGCCTAATTTTAGGATTTATTTTTAATTTCTTAAATTGTAATTAAGCTTGGCTTTTGAGCGTTCATCCCTGTTTGGTGAATCCTCTATATAAGAAAGCTAAACCCATTTGAAAATGACCTCTCTTTTCAAGCACCAAGACCCCCAAAGTCTGAGAAGAATCATGTCTAGATTGCACTTGCCTCATTGGCTTGTTTTTTGTTGTGAGTCCCCAATCCCCACGGGAGAAGAGAGAGAGAAAAAAACCTTTGAGAGAGAGAAGATACCCCAGAGTGCGTGGTCCCACGGGCACCCCGGCCACACGGGTCATCTTCCTTCTCTCCTAAACTAAGTTAGCCCTTCTCTCTCTCTCTCTCTCTCACTCTCACATCGACCTCATCCGCACGACAGCCCGCGTCTGCCCGCAAGCCCACAGACGTGAGAACCCATGGGTCTCAATACTAAGGTTTCCTCACGCCTCCTTTAGCAGCCAGTCAGTCCCCTCATGAGAGCGACTAAGAAGGAGGGACATTCGGATCCCATTTCAATAGCGTAGAGAGAGAACAGAGAGGTTGAGAGCTTGAATAGGGCCCCCAACCAAACTGCGCTGACAAGCAGCCGGAGGACTTCGTAATTGCTCTAAGAGGGCTATCCTCTTGGGTATGTCCCCAAACCCCCTAAGTGGCGTAAAGAGCGTCCGCGCTCCAATCACAAAATCTCTCTCCCCGTCAGCGCCTATCCACAACTAAGAGGGCCCCCACGTGCCACGTGCCAGACCTTCAAGGTTGTTCGAGAAAGGGTTTCCGCCTCCTGACCCGAGCGAAACCAAGACCCCACCGATGTCAATGGGTTAATCCAGCTCTAAGAACGTTTGGACTGCAGTTGAAAATGAGATGGGTTAACCCATCTCTGGGCAGCTTGAAACTGCCATTGAGACAGAGATGGGTTAAGCCATCTCCTAGTAGCTTTAGATTGTCGCTTAAGCCATCTCTGAGCAGCTTTAGATACCGTTGAAACTATCATTGGCCTATTCTCGAAATCCATAGACTAAGCCATGCTCCGATCATAGTCAAATAGGGAACACTTGAATGGCAAGAACCATACTCATCTTCTGTTGGTTCACCACATATCTTCAAGTTGTTTTCTTCTTAGTCTTTCATCGAGACTAAGTGTCCATACTTTCCAAAGGCAAAGTATGGATCATTAACAATTTGATCAATGTACTTTGTCTTGTTTGTGATAAAAGTACACCAAACACATCAAAACAATTTTTCAAGATGGATTTTTTATTAGCAAACTAGTTTATCATTATAATCTCAGCCTTATCCCAACTAATTGGCATCGGCTACATGAATCATGTTCCATAATTCTTCTCTGTCATGGGCCATCCTCAATCATACTATAAGTCATCGTATGTCTTCTCACTAATTCCATCCATGTCCTTTAAGGCCTTTTCCTTGGCCTTTCAAAACCTTCCACTTTAACCAAATCACCCCTCCTAATCAGTGTTGCATTAGTCTTACATTGCACATGGTGAGCCGATCGAAGTCTACTTATCTTATTGCCTATCACAGGCTCAAGATTCATGAAAAGATAAGGTGCCAAATTCCCTCCCTAACACACTCTTTAATCTGCACTTGGGACAAACTGACTGGCTTGGGACTGGTCATGTTCGTCTTGGTACTTTTATATTTTTTTTTTTTTTTTTACCATTGAGGAGATTTGAGCTTTGGATTAAAAACCAATGGTGGATGACATGTTTAAGGCAATGGCAGATATGATTTGTCGAGCCATACTGCTATATAAGAATATCCCATGTGGAGAGTATAAAGACAATATTGTATATAAAAGAAATATCAAAGGGCCTCCAAGCCAAGTGGAAGACGTTTGAAATTTAGGCTCTTTCATTCAAGTTATCAAATTACTATGGGCATAAGCAAATTGGCTTATATGAGAAATATCATGCTTCTAGGAAAAATATTATGTTGTTAACCAGAAAAGAGGAAAAAAGAAAAGGGAGTCATAAATAGATCTTTTTTTTATTAAGTCTTTAATGAAATACTCAATTTTAATGAGAATTTTAACGACTAGGTGACTTCTTGTCAAATCTCCCAAACTGCCACTGTCTAATCAACTTGTCATCGTGGGATCTGGTCTATAGGATTTGGATTAGCATCCCATGCTACAGTATCTAAGGGGCAGTTATTCTAGCAATGTATTCTTGCTTTATAGTGTTTATTTTGCAGGGACCAACAAGATGACCATAATGCATATGGTTGCTTCATTCTTTGAATTCGAGTGCTTGCTTCTCAGGGCGTCTATGACATGAAACTCGTGACATTTATCAAGGAATTTACATGGTCAACTAAATGAACGACCCTGGATTTGTTTTAACCAAAGGTGTAAATGGCTTTGGCAGCCTGGCCATAAAATGCCAGAACTTCGGCCCTAAGTTGAGGTTCGAGAGCAAAGGCCGCCAGACCAGTAATCCGGGCCCATCGAATGGCTGGGTTGAGATTTGGCCGATCTGCGTGGCCTCAGATTGCGCACGACCCAACAGTAAGAGGGATGCATTGATTGTGAGGCTGGAAGATATTTGTTGAAGTCGACAAATTTGGTTCTTATCTATTTAATGGGTGTACTTATGTATTTAATAGAGAGGCACATAGATTGCAACCAGGTCATTAAAGATTTAGCTTTCTCTTGTTTCTTGCGGTAATGAAAGATGTTTGCATGTAATTGCCGGATGGCAATTAGGGCTACATGCTCACCAGTCAACCAAGAATGATATGATTTACTTTTAAAATAGGGAGTGGTTTCTATAAGAGGTTGCAACCTTAAACAATCCAATTAAGGCATACGTCCAAATTTTATCGATCTTGTAATTTTGGTGTAAAATGTTTTAAGGATTATCTCAAAATCTATTTTTATATCTAATTATAAAAATTTAAACTTCAAAAATATCCAAAATCAAGTAGATATATAAATATATGAAAACCTTGAAAATGAACGGTCTAGATAATGTGTTGCAAGAAGAACTATTTATGGGACTCAAAATCTTTTTCCTTTTCATATTTATACATCTTGATATCGAGATGATCAACAAGAGGCTTTTTCAACATTAAAACAACATTGTCCGATGGATTTATGAGGTGCATCTAAGATTCCGCTTTTTAAGGTTGCAACCTTATATATTCCTTTAAAAAATGCATCATGTTATGTGTTTTAAGACGTTATGGCTGGAAATAGTATAGGCAAGGATACAAAAGTACTTTTAGGATTGGGCCAATGCCATGGTCCTTGAGCCCATGTAGGGCCAGGCTTGGCATTGGCCATTTCAAGGCCAAACCTTTGTAGTTCAAGATTGGGCTAGGGCCAAACCTGGCCTACCGAAGCTTGATCTGTTGCTATAGTTGGCAATGGTCTGAGTCGCCCATCCTGACCTGATTATGAAAAACTAGAGCTTGGGCCACACAATGTGGGTTAGAGGACCTGGTCATCACGACCTAAGAGCTACGGGGCCGGGCCTAGGTCAGGGCTGATCTTGTTTAGCCCAACCTTTTTCCTTTTCTGACTCTATTTCTTTTTTCTTTTTTTTTCTTTCTTGAGTATATTAGGTCTGGGCCGACCCAAAGATGCGCTTGGGCCGAAGCCGGGGCCGGGGCCTCTTTGGCCAGGGCCTGCCCTATAGGGAACATGGCCAGGCTAGAGCCAACTCTGGCCCAGACCCGGCATGGCCCGTTGCCCACCTCATCCACTTCCAATACTACTTTGAAGACCCATGATTGGTGCCAATGCAACGTTTAGCAGTTTAAGTTTAGGCTGAGAAGAGGAAAAACATGGAAATTAATTTAAAGAGAAGTAAAAAAACATGGACGTTCCTGAGACTCAAATAGAAACATGGAAGTTCTGTTAACCTAGAAACAGGAAACATATTATTTCATAAGATAGGATTACAAATGAGAGACATATCTCATGTAAAGAAAGTGTGGTTTCCCAACAACCAACTTTCATGCTCGAGTCAGCAGTAGGAAGCTTGAAGTACGATGACACGGTAAGAACCTTACGTCAAGCTAATTTCCTGCGTCATACAATGTCCATGTAAGAGTGCTGCTCATATGCATGTATATACAAATGAAATAATTATTACATATGAAATTCTCTCTCTCTACATCTCTATCTCTTGTTTATAGAAGCTAATGAGATAGTAGATGGCTAGCGGCTTTTTCTTTACTGGGCTTGACTATTTCTGAAAAGTTGGATTCTGTGATGCCATTGTAGTATCCTTCATTCTTTTTGATCAATAAAATAAGTAATATTATCCCAAAAGAAAATAAATTAACTATGAATTGACGAATTTCAGAAATTATTATTTTATTTGAATGAGTTATAATCAAAGGTTAATGGAGGACGACTTCTAGTCAAGGATATCAAGAATACATAGTTTGAAGCCTACAATCATCGAAGTTTAACCCAGCAAATGTGCCATTAGTGATAACATAAATAAAGAAAAAAAAAATATTCCTTGGAGCAGGGTGGGCCATTTTGCTAGTTTGGCACTGTAATATAGACAAGAAAATTGGTTTGATATGGTTGCAGCCCAATCAAAATAAGCAAAGCCTCACTTTAAAACTCATTGAAAATTGTAATTTTAGCATAAAAAAACCTTCAAATCCATCATGTTGGCTTTCACTATTATGGTTATAAAACAAATTAGGATTTCAAGCCTCAAAAACAGCATATACTATAACAACATAACTAGTATGTTCATTTCGTCTTAAAAATAAGTGTTTACAAATTTGTATGATGAGTAAAAAATTTTACGCTTCAAATTTGATAATTGGTGTTGAAAATTGATGTTAGAGCTCAATGGCGATTTTTCAATAGTCATCAGCTTTTCGGACGAAAATTCGAGGTGAGGCTTTAGTTTGTTTTTATAAAACCTGAGCCATATATAAACCGCATCCTTTTAGTAATGTATATGAAGAATAATAGTGGTTTCCGAAGGTCTTCGTGGGGAAATTAATTAGAATGGTGGATTTCGTGAACATGAATGCATCCCAAACAAAACATGCATGACTGCCACAATTTTCCATCCATCAACCTTGATAAACAATGGTTCACTGACAAGGATTGATTACCGGTATAGCACAGCAGTGCATGCATTGTGTATGTTGAGCCTTAAAACAGCATAAAACGAAGAAAAGAAGGAAAAAGGGCTTAGAAATCCAAGGAGATGAAAAGGACCTTGGCATTGAGGTGGAGTCCTGAGGTTACACTTGGCAGGGAGCTGCAGGGCAAGATCGGGATTGATTCCGAGAGAGTGAAGGAGCAGAGAGTGCCGATAGGAGCACAAACACCCGAGGTCGGCTGAACCAATAGCCTTGCAACACGCTTTAGATGGGTTGGTGGGTGCAGGAGCTGACCCACTCACAGAGGACTGGCACGCCTTGAATCCGTCTTGGTTCATTCCGCATATCAGTGCTTTCGATTCAATAACCAACGCCAAGAACACCACCATCAAAATACATGCCGGATCCCTGCACGCTCTCCCTCTCTCTCTGTCTCCCTCTCTCTCTCTTATATTTTTAGTTTTCAGGTTTTAGAAGGGAATGATTTTGTTATATAAGAAGGGAAGGAGGTTTTGTGGCCATATTTAGTAGTCTGCGTGGTGAATTCAGAGGGAATGATTTGTTATGTAAAAAAGGAAGGAGGTTTTGTTGCCATATTTAGGGTGATTTGTGTGGTTGGGGCATTGTGTCACGGGTTTAACAGACATATGTACATATGAGTCGGCACCCACCACGGCCTGCATTCATACGTACATATGAGTCGGTCAACTCATAGAAACCCATCCATAAAATTATATTGACAAATAATGTCAAAAGGCTAGAATCAACGTCTTAAAACACAGACATGTTTTTGGATGGCCCATGGTTTCGGCCATCTAAATACCATTAGCTCTGTTTCCTTGATTCTTTCAATCTGTCCCCATAACTTTTCAGCGGAAGTTTTACGTTCTATTGTTCATAGAGTAGTTTATGACATGTCATAATGAGCGGGCCCTTGGAGTAGGCTCAGTCATTCGCATTATGTGTTTTGAAGCTGGCTGTCAAAGTGCACTTATGCAGTGTAGGACTCTAGCTTGGTTTTGTTGTTTAGGCCAGATGCTTGTAGTGTACCATTAATGAGTCTAGCGGTGTCCAGTGGTGGTTAAAATTCATCAGCCAAATGATGTACATTGCATTGACAAGGGGCTTTACCTCAACACTTTCATTCTTCATGTCTTACATGAATGATGTCCATATTGACCTAGTATAGGCGAGAATTTTGGATTCACGATGCCATTTGTTTATGCTGAAGAGAGACCCTTCACTATCAAGTGCAGTTTTCAAGACTGGAACAAACCGTTCGATCCAAAGTGGAAATTGGCAAAACCAATCATGACCAATTTTGGCCATTTGAATCTGTTAGTTTTGACAGGTCAGACAAGTTAAACAAAATTGGATATCTATTTATTGAACTATATTTTATTTTAAAACTATTATTTGTTGGTAAATATCTCCTTTAAGGCTCTTTCTCCTAATGATGGTATAAAAGTTATATTACGTAAAACTCCATGTGGTTAACATGAGACAACACCATATACATGAACCTATTTTTTAGCTTTAATAAGATGTAGCATTGAAAGGAAAATACAGTATCAATGGATAGAAAACCTAGTGGTATTTGGATTATGACATTCCTTGGGACAATTGTTTTCTTATGGTGTAGATATATCTTTTACCACATTGTGGGAATAAGATTAATAGTTTTGTCACAAGTTGTTAATCCAATTTAGCTTCCCTTAAGGGATTTAAAGCAGGAGTTGCAATTGCAACTCAACTACTATAGACCACTAATGTGAGAGCCACATGCTTATATGTTCTCTATAGAAGAAGGTTAGACCCTCAAGAAAGAAATTACAGAAAATGATGAAAGAGAAATATGGAGAGAAAATCTCATTAGCCAAAGGTACTCTCATTATGCGAGCCGCTAGATAGCTTGATCTATAGGATTTTGGAACATTAACTTTCTCTTGTGATTTAAGGACAAACCCAAGTAAGTTGTTGATTGATATCATTTTTTTTTTTTCTTTATTTTTTAGTATTATTTTTGTATTAAGATCATTTTTTCTTTCCAACTGTGTTGGTTGAGCCGATTTTAACTGGACCAGATGATTTACGTATTAGATGGCCGGTCCAACCCTAACTTGCTAGCAATATCCAAGTTAATCTAATTAGATTGTGCCATTCCCATTCTAATCCCGGATTCCTTAACCTGCCTTATTGTACACAAGCACACGTACTTTACTACTTTCCTGCAAGTGAAGCCATGCCACTACTTTTCTTCTTCAAACGAAGTCATGCCCTCTATTCTTCTTCGTTAAATTTGAGTTGGTAGGACCTCCCCATGCTTGCAGAAATAACTCTTTCTTTTACAATTTTTTTTTAAAAAATTATTATGACATGAAAGTTACAGTACAATCATATAATCAACACATCAGAAACCGCTAGAGGATTTAAAAGCACTTCCCTTCATGCCAAAGCATCTAGCAAATCATTTGCCTCCCTATAAATGGGACAAAAAGGTTCTCCATCCCACAGCAAATGTCCAAAACCTCAAGCCAATAAGACGAAGGTCTACTAGATTCACTTCCTCCCTAACGATCACAACAGGGAACCTCCCATCCTCTTCCTTGCACTTCTCATCGATGCTCTTCGGCATGGAATCCAATCACATCTCTCTTGGGAACGTTTGGGCACATGTATTTTGGAGCATGGATTTTTAATATCTTAGATAATATTGAAATATACCGTTTAGTTTGCTCAATAGTTAGGGTATTAAAATTTTATGTAAATTAATTATTGAAAAATCACCAAATGTTTTTAGGATTTCATTTCCATACCAAAACCTTTTTTTAAAAATAATTTCTAAGGCCCATGGACTCCACTCGTCGGCCCCGTGACCGGAAACATAGGGCACATTTGATAGGTATGAAAATTTTAAATAGAGAACGTACCTAAATTTTTTTAAAGAGATAAACTATCTCAAAATTTTCAAAGAGAGAAACTATCTCAAATTTTGAGTTTATAAGAGAGAAACTATATCAACTCTAGAAAGAGAAAGTGCATAAAAATTTTTAGAGAGAGAAACAATTTCAAATTTTTAGGGAGATATTATCTCCAATATAAAGTTTAGAGAGAGCTGAAAATTTTGGAGAAAGAAACAATATAAAATTTTAGAGAGAATACCTGAAAATTATTAGAGATAGATGTTGGATTTATGTGGCTTTTAAACGCCTTTATGAGAGCTTGTATGAGCATTTTATATAGTCAAACGAGGGATTGGAAACTCGGTGAGTCGATACAGAATCGGCCTAGTCGACTTGGGAATCGGTGATCCTGTGCCGATTCTAGCATAAAACGTGGAACCAGGTGATCTTAGACCGGAACCGGCGATTCTTTCCAATTTGTTATAGTGACATGCCCGTGTCGACATGGTGTCTCGCTAAAGCCCGTGAGTTTACAACCTTTTTATACAAATCGAGCCTTTTTTGCCACCAAAAACTGTAAAAATTCATCTTTTTTTGCTCAATAATGGAGGGGAATAAGTTTTTAAGTCTATAAATAGATCGGACCCAAAAAAACCAATTTTCTTGAGATTATTGATTGAAATTCAAGGATTTTTTAGCGGATTTGGGTTTTACACCAAAAATCAAATTTTGTGGATGTTCTTCATCAATTTGATCTATTGTTTTTTGCTGAATAATTGTGCCAGTACAAGCTTTCATCAAAATCAAGTTGATGATTGGTTGGTTTGTATTTTAATTTTACAAAAAAAAATTTTGAGCTCGTGTTCTTCCCCTTTTTTAGCAAAAATTTCATCAAAGTTCTTTAAAATTCGCCTTGTTTTGATGAATAATGTAGGGAAAACACTGTTTAGGCCCATAAGACATCGATTGGGGTTGGACTGAACCCAACAAAATGCCTGATTATGATTTTTTTTATTGAAATTTGTGCTTTTTTGTAGCAGATTAAGGTTTTCCGCTAAAACTCTATTTCTGTGGTTGTTCTTCATCAATTTGATCAGTTGTTTTTACTGAATGATTGTGGTAGAACAAACATTCTTCAAAATCTGGTACGATGATTTTTTGTTTTTTATTTTAATTTTACGGTTTGTTTTTTTAGAGCTCATGTTCTTCCCCTTTTATCCATCGATTTGATAAAAGAAACTTAATTTTACGAACTTTTTTTAGTATTGCTTTTATCCTATTTCTTTTTTTGAATGGGAGTCCTTGTATTCACAAACTACCATACTGGCAGTAACAAACTTGTATACACAGACATTATTATTGTTTAGCTGTATTTTTTGTTTATCACTTTTTTGTTCTGTGTGGAAGATATACTTGCAAGAGAATTTTAATATTCTAAATGTTGAAGAACCTAATGAAGAATCTCAAGAGAAATTAGTTTTAGTTGATCATTTGCATGCACATAGTTTTTTTGTTTTTAAAATAAATCCTTTACTTCCACATTTACTTGTCAAGTAAAACTGTTAGGAGTTTGCTGTTTTGTCATTTTTATTATTAATTTATTAATTTCTTTTTGCAATGATGGTATTTTTACTTTTTCACTTTATCACAGTTTCCCTGTCTCGCTTAGTGACGTTCCTGTTTACAGGTCAACCCTCATACACACCAACTCAAGCTCTATGACTATGGAAGTGCAAAGGTTTTGGTGGGTTTTACTTCCTGCATAATCAAATTTCCTTATAACTGCAAAAACTCATGTTTCTGGTTTCGATGATTTATATATTCTAATTGACAAGTGAAGGGGGAGCCAAATATATCATATATTTGTTCTAGATATTATAGATCTCTGGAATTGATATTTAGAGCAACTGAGTACACCTCAGCGATTGACATCTGGTCAACTGGTTGTGTTTTGGTTGAATTGCTACTTGGACAGGTGAATTTTTGCTATTGCTTTCATTTTGCTTATGTCACTGCTTTAATAATCATATATGATGAAATTGCATGGTTGCTAAGTTATCCACAATGAACCTTGACAGCCGCGTCTTTCATTTTGGTATTAGGTCATATTTTATGAATTTTAAGCTTTATTGTAGTTCATGTATGATTATATACTTCATCCATGATAATTCTATGCTTCTCCTTTTGTGTGATGTAAATTTAATGGTTAACATTAGGTCATTTAGGGAAAGAACATCTCAATATTTGCATATTGATGCAAAAAATGAAAGTAATTAATGTAATACCTCCGTTTCATATTGGATTCCTAAAAAACAACATTTATAATGATTGTTTATAATTGTTTTGAATTTTTTAAATGTCGAATCAGACTTATTCGGCCGATTCTCGATGTGAATCGTCGATTCACAAATTCGAATGGATTTTGGGGTGCCCGATCTGGTGCACTGATCCGTTTTTTAAACTACTGATTGAAACATAAACTCAGTGAGAGTGTGGTCCTCTTGTGCATGCCCTAGTCTATTGGCTAACTTTGGAAGTCCAATCATGAGCCCCTGCAGCGGACT